ATTCATGATTATAAACATTGAAGTCTCCCACGATGATTACATGGCAGTTGGGGTCGGTTGCAAACAACAGTCAAAGGTAGAGGAGTCGCCATTATCGGTGGAACGATATTCAACACAAAAGTAATGGTCAAAAGAAGAAAGTAGGAGCTTCAACCGCATCAGCTGAAATTCACGATTGGAAAAGTCAAGGTTTGGGATTCTGGAGGCACAGACTGATTGGTGGATAAAAGCACAGATGTTAGCCTTGGGTAGAAAGGTGGGTAAAGTGTAGTTGGTGTATTGAAGGTGGGTGGTTTCTGACAAGATCTGGATGTTTCGATCAAAAAAGGACAAGAGGAGAGGAACGAAGAAATCGGTGTACAGAATTAATATTAAGGTTCAGTCCATGGATGCCGGTGAGTGTGATTAGTGCGTGTTTGCATTGCGAGTGCATAGAACGAGGAAGAACGTGCGTGATATCATATTATCATGCTTACGTTATGATATGGAAACCGTCAACCATGAGTTCCTGACTTGAAGTGGTGAAGCACATAAGACTGCAATAGGTCAGGTGTGGTGGTGAGCCCGGGCGTCGGCAGAGCTGTCTACTACCTATAAAAGCTGCTTACCACCCTTCTAAGCACTAACTTAACTCTGGACCTTCATTGAACACAATGGCTATTGACGAGTATCCAATCTCTCAATCAGGCCTTTTCGTTTAGTACGATTCCTACATCGCGCTGACCCAATGAGCTGGCTTCATCATCTCCTGTTGTACGAAGGAAATACCTGGAGGATAGACTCGGTGCACTCCGGTGGATTATACCAACAGGATCCTGAATTTGTGCCTCCGGTACGCAACATGTATCGATTTCCAAAGTGTTCATTTTACGCGCAAGACACGTCTGTTGATCTATCTGCATCAGAAGGCGCACGTTCGAGACCCCCCCCCCCAGTTTCAAAGGCTGATAAGGCTTCAGAATTTGCAATTTTTTTTAGTGGTAACGTACTTTGTGCTATTTAGTCACGTGCTGTGACGAGTGGCAAGCAAATTGTCTGGTAGAATGTTACGAGTAGGAAGAAGGGTTTGATGTAAAAGACAAAGGGTTAAACAAAAGTTGTGATGTCTGAGCTCTAACCCACTTATCATCCCGCGCTCGATACGATCAATGAGCAACGCGGTCCCGATTATCCTGCACGACGACCGATGCAGTATGGTGTTATGTTTTGTTTGTATTCATTGGAGGTTTATGGATGGGTACTGCTAGGGAGTCCAACCACTATGCAGGAGAACGATTTGGGTTCTCATTCAAAGCCTTCAGTTCTGACAAGAATCTGACCTCAAGGCAGCGGCTAAGGAAAAGTGGATGCCGGTTTGCCTGGATCAGTTACTTCTCCATCATTTTTTCCTGACTGAGACGCTAATTGGAGTGTAACCCCCAACTCGGAGGACCGAGAGACTGAACGTTATCCGATCCCTACCCTTTGAATTTCAAGGCCTGATAAGATCTAGCTTGAAAAGGGTCTGGTTGTGTTACAGATGTGCAAAATTCATTACATCGCGTCAAGGTGCGGTCTCACTGAATAATTCTGTGTAAAACACCTGGTTGGTTATTTTTTTATAGGGGGAGGGGGAGGGATAAGTCCGATTTGATCCAAAAAGTGAAACACATTTAGCACTTTATTAATGTGATGAACAAAGAGATCTTCGTTTTTGTTTTTCGTTTGCTTTTCTTCAAGCCTATAATTTAATGTTTATTTCACTGTTTTGTCGGGTTTAAAGGTAAAACGACAATGGCCGATGCGCTGCTGGCAACCAATGGGATCGTATCGATCAGACAAGCCGGAAAGTTACGGTATATGGACAACACCGAAGCTGAACAAGAGCGTGGAATTACAATGAAGTCAAGCGTAGTTGGTCTTGTGTTCAACCGGACCAGTCAACAAGAAGATAAAAATTCAGAATCTTATCTCATTAATTTAGTGGACTCACCCGGACATGTGGACTTCAGCTCGGAAGTTTCCACTGCCGTCCGTCTATGTGATGGAGCCATTGTCGTCGTCGATGTCGTAGAAGGGGTCTGCCCACAGGTAACCTTTTTACCGTTGATTCTCATTCTTTAGACCCGCACTGTGTTACGTCAAGCCTGGAATGAGCGGCTCACCCTGGTTCTGGTTCTTAATAAGATCGACAGATTGGTTCTTGAGTTAAAGCTCACTCCACTGCAAGCATATGAAGTGTTATGCCGAACCATTGAACAAGTCAACTCAGTACTTGCGGAAATGTTTACCGCTGATGTTGTTCGACAAAGAGACGCTTGGCAATCTGCTGATGTTTTACAGGTGAATTTCTCGAAACCTAATATGCCGCTTATGCACTGCCTGCTATATGTTACATTCTTTTTGTGCATATTATTTTTAGCTACGATATCCTCATAACTTTTGTCTTGCCGGTGGCTTGCTCCTCGTCCGACTACAAGAACAAAGTACGAAAACGAACGAAGTTCGCGAAAAGGGTTTAAGCATTGTTGTCTCAATGGCTGTTTGAATATTCAGCTATTTTATGTGAATCTGCACCTCCGCGGAGCGTCAATTATAAGTTTCAGTGAACTATTTTGAATCGTTAATGCAGTTTTCCATGTACAATCATTCAGTGACAGCTATTTCACGGGTATATCCTTTTCCTAAATGTGGGTTGTCATCAACTGGAGTTTCAGCCAGGTTAGCAATTAATTTTTTATTACACACTTAAGTGTGATGAACAGCAGACGGGGTAAACCCCATAGTCACGAAGACCTGCTGTTCAGTAGTAGAAACTGGCAACCTAAGCCCCTGGGCTCTGCTCGGTTAGGCGTGGTATTGAACCGGATGACAGCAGAGTTGCCTACCACCAAAGTCGTGTGGCGATGGCGGGGCTGGAACGTCAGACCATAGGGTCCAATGCACGCCGGTGACAGCGACTAAACCACTGCGCCACCACCACCCAAGTATCATTGAGCAGGAGAGGAAAAGCGTGAAGTATCTGACACTTTTGAATCGTGCAACTCCTGTGAGTAAAAAATGCTGCATTCACTAACCG